ATTATAAATATGTAATACAAAGTAGGACAATAATATTTTATTACAATACTAAAATCTATTAAAATCGTCAATCTAATTTTTACAAATCACTTATTCTTTACTCAAGCATAACTAGCAATTTTTCTTTTCTGCTCCACTTCGTTCGCTTCTTTCCTTTAAGCAGCAGTTTTCTGAACAACAGTGTACACCCCATTACCCCAAATCTTGCTGGATGGTTCACGTGTTGTCCCCTCGGCCGTAAATCTTTGATGCCGAGCGAATTAAGTCACCTTTACGGCTGCGGATCGTGTGAAAACAACTTTTAACGTGTCTGTACCTCTGAACCTTGATCGAGATTATCAGCGCCGATGGTGCTAAGAAATTGTCCAACAATAAGCACGACATAGGAACGTAGTAGTAAATTCTAACAATGATTAAAGCGTATTTACTCGTTCACTTTAAAATCTATCAAAGTTCATTTAAAAAAAAATCGATACTGAGCTTATCGAATATATTTTAATCTTTGCATTCTGATATTCTTAAGTTCACTTGTATTAATTACTTCTCTTTACATATAGTATATGTGCGTAACGGTTTCTTTAATCAGTTAATTAATTTCATGTCTGTCCGAACAATGAAAGTAATCTGACAATGCTGTTCGAGGAACAGGGAGAAACCGTTAATGTAGTCGCGGTATACAAGTTAAAGATATGTACTCGGACGCGGAGCTAGTTTCCAACGCGAATGACGGGAGGGACTCGTGTGCGTAGACGACGGAGGTCGCTCGGAGGGGTCGTTAAAGCTCGTAAACGAGATAGACTATCGGCGGAATTTCCTTGATCCTCGATAATGCGGTGGAAACAATTTGCACGCGTCCGTTTGCCGCCGTGGCGAACGAAAAGCAGACTCCGCGCTTGACTTCGAGACGTATCGATCACTCCCGTCCCGTACATTATGCTACTCCTACTGTATGGCTTTCTCATATCAAATTAAAACTCATACGTGTTCTTGAAGTCAAGAATTGTTCATCAGAATTAGCAATGACCATATAGATAAAAATTATCGATGAGGATTCATTTTCTTTTACGTTTTTTTATTTTATTTTTAATTAATTATTATTGTTATTTTAATTTTTTTGACACATCAGATATTTATTATATTTAAATCTATAGAACTTATTTTTCTGTTTGTAAATTGACTTCAGCACCTGACTTTGAGTGTCGTTTTCATTTTCAAATGCAAGCAATTCCCTCTGTAAATTTCCAGGAATTTTGTAAGATCTTGGAAAAAAAAAAATATACACCGTCGTAAACGGCAGGGAAAGTCGAGATGGAAAAAGGCGGAAAAGGAAGGCGCGCGACCCGAAAACCGAGGATTAGTTTTGACGCTGGAGATTTAAAGAGGATCCTTGGAATCCGTAGATTTAAGAAGTGCGTGCCTCCAGTTTCTCCCCTCGCCATCCGAAATTCGGAGGGCAAATATGTACTTTTCTGCTCCCTGTATTTCGACGATCACCAGTTTCTTACCCCGAGTCACGATCATGGGAATTCCATCGGCAGATATATTTTTCAACGTTCTAAGAAACGTCTCTCTCGTTTTATAAGCTATGAATTAATTTTATAATTGTATACTCAGATTAGGACTACGACTATCCATACACCCAGCCGGATTATCTGAATTTATGTATACATATACATGGTTCGGATACATAGTTATCTGCATAATATCCGGATATTTAAAGCAGCTTTTTATTACGTTTAGAAACAAAAGTGCATCTTGGTCATCACTAATGAATTCATGATAAGGATATGGATAATCCGGATTATCCGGATATCCGACAAAATTAAATCCTAGCTTTCATTTAAATAAATGGAACAGACAACTAAGTGGAGAAATTTAAAGAAGGGCAAATAGTTCTTCAATAAATGAAAGTATTATTACAAATTGCATAAGAATTGTACTCATCAGGATCAATCATGTCGAGATAGATAGACATTGAACACTGTCTGAGGTCACTACTAAAAATGTTTCTAATAAAGGATGATGTTGAACTGAAAGATTTCTCTGTTAGGAATCTTCTTCATTGGTTTCGGAGCACGACAACTGCGGGCTCGGGATAATAGAGTTTGCGTGTCCATGTGCTTCGGTTTTACCTGTACGCCCGGTTCCTCGTGTATGCGTAAGGGTTGGGTATCAAGAGGGGAGGATATTGTGACCCTTACAAACTAATCCGGATTAAATTTGAATCCCTGGCTATGTGGCTAGGCGATCCGCGAACATGTACTGCGCCGTCTTGCAGCATACGATTGAACTCGTTACGACGTTTAACCCTTTCTCCGACTCCATTTAGATCACCACGGGACTGGAAACCGAACTTCTGATCCTCTCGGCTATTGTTTGTCGTTCAGTGGTTTTGAATTTATTCGTCGGTCCATTCAACTCGATGTTTCACAGCACGTTTCAATCTATTAAATGATTATATCCCTCTTTTTTTACAACTCTGTTATTATCTATACGTTCTTTTCGAGTAAGTTTAACATGTACTAAATACAGAAAAAGAATTATATTTTTTTTAAATAAGCACAGTTCTGGGACAAGATATTGCTGTTTTTACTAAATAGAGAACAAAGTTTATACTGCAGAATGTAAGCTATGCAACTTCTACCACGACCACGGGGGAAGCTAAAGACAAAATCGATATCGCTTTAACAACGTTGTTCGGATTATATTTGTTTATTTTTTTTTTACATAAATTTTGGTACTCTTAATGTAAAATATTAAACGTAACATTTCGAATGTAGATTACAGTGGCGGGTGTTCATAAAAAAATCAATACTGCGACAAAATAATCGAAATAAATATAAAAACATTCATTAAGATTTTTAATATCGTTCATATGAAGAAGTTAAACAGGAACGTGGTTAAAACACAATTCCGTCTCTCTCATCATTCTGTAGAATTCAATGAATTTTGTATAAAATTATTTGAAAGTGCAGACTTGTCGAACGTATTCCTAGGGTGGACGCAGAATCGCGGCTGAGCCCATCGTTGGGACGTGGAATCGAATAAAACAGAAGTTCGAAATTCAAAGCGGGCCACGTCGAAACACCCGAAACGTATCGTCGTATACTTCCACGTACACCCAGTAGATAATGCCTCGACTGTCGTGGAGCACACAGGATGTGCCAAGAGTGGAACACCGGTAGTGTGAGCGCGAGACACGCGAGGAGGACGGCACGGGCACGGGGGTTTAGGATTAGCTGAGTTGTGTGCGTTGGATTTCGGATTTGGGCGGCGGGCGGCGCACACTCGACCAATAATCCTGGATTAATCCCAGGTTCGACCGTATACATATATACGTGTACACATGTAGCCGGTCTACGGACGCGCACATGCCCACCGGGAACCTATATTCTCGCGGCGAGCGAGTTGCTCGTGCACGCTCGCAAGGGACGCGAATGGAGCCCCGGTCAAACCGAGTGACTGAAATATACGTGGTCCCGCGCGTGTATGTACGCGTGCATACGCGTGTACACACGGGCACAGTTCTACTTATGCGTGCACCTGCAGCGGGTAGGACGGACGCACACATCGGCGTGGAAAGATGGATAGAGAGCGAGAGAGAATCGGGATCAGGACTCTCGGAGAGAGAACCAGGCTGTGCCGCCAAAGGATTTGGCTGCACGCATACAAAGCCGCCGCGTACAGGCTGGGACACATCGATGTAACGGCCAAAGATAATCCTCACGAATACAGAACCTGGATAATCCCCGTGTAGGACCCGTATATACGCTCTCCGGGTCCGGCTGCCCGTATGCGTGCACACGTACGGGCCGCACCACCTATCACGGGCGCGGGATGATGGTCCGTACAAAAGGGTGGCGCGCACACCGGGAGAACGTTGGCGGGGGTGGATCAAGGGTGGCGACGCGCGGGGAAGGCACGGAGGACTGTGGCAGAGCACACAAGGTTTAGAGGCTAAGCGGCTCATCCCCCAGGAAGCTTTACATCCCGTCCTGATACGACGGGAATTCTACGAACGATTCGAAAGATATCCTCTTTGTGAGCTGGCGGCTGGGGTCGAGGCGCGAGTATGCGCGACGCGGATACGAACAGTGGCGCGCTCCGTATATGTAATGGTTTGTATGGAAATATTGGACGGCGTGAAAGATACGTGAGACAGATCCAGAGACTGCTCATCGTAGGGCCGACGATTACAGAAATGTTTTGAGGGATTTCGTTTGTTTGATGCTTAAGGAACGATTCGAGTTTTGGGTGAATGCCTGAATCGGTTGCATAGGATGAAATGGGTATAAAATACGCATTGCTTATATATCTGACTTTCATTGAGATATGGTAGCAAATAACGCGAATTAATATGAAGTAAAATTATTGATTCATTGAATAATTAATAATCGATAACATTTCCTCATTAAAAAAACTCGATTCAATAGATTTCTGTTTAAGAATATGGAAAATGGATCGCACGAGTAAAGGATGTTTAATATTAAGAAATACAATTCGTGAAAGAGCTAAAATAATACGCACATGAATATATAAATATCATATTTATTACGTACCTAAACTCCATCCTTTTTAGAAAAGAAGATAGATTATGGTTCGTGGTTTTTTCGGTTTAAAGCTCGAATATTTATAAAAGCTTATTTCTCTCGCGGTGGAACAATCTTCCACTCTGCATTAACTCATGGAGTCCCATATGGATTTTATCTCTCTCGTGGGCGAAGAAAAATGCGAGAACGCATTCGCAAAGGTCCACCACTCCTCCGACCATAATCTTAATCC